GTCCAGCCATCCATCCATCCATCCACCCATCCATCCATCCATCCATCCATCTATCCATCCATCCATCCATCCATCCATCCCTCCAGTTGGTCACTGCAGGAATAATTTTTTGATATCTTGGTTTCTCTCTAAGATGCTCTAGTGAACACCCATCTAAATATGACTTGGTTTATTTGTTTTTACAGATTAAACTGATAACTGGAGATTAGGGTTTGTAATCTCTCCTCACTGATGGTGGAGGTTCATAGCGGGAGCAGGGTCACTTTGTTCAAATGGTCAGAGGGAATGACAGGATTGGGACCAACCTTATCTTTATCCACACGCAGGAACTGCTTCACAGGAGCGTAAGTGCTGCAGGACAAACACAGAGAGATAAAGGTTATTTGGTCACTGGATGATTGACAGGCCTTTGATCTCTGCCTCCTCACAGACGTTCAAAACAAACAGATCGTATCTGTGTTTAATACAGCCTGACGTCTAATGGAGGCTGTATGAGCCCCTTACTCTTGTTTTACATGATAATTGGAGCTCATGCACATCTGGGACACTTACAATCGGATCTGTCCGGTGGACAGGGCGCTGGTGATCCAAACCAGGTCCAGTGTTTTGAAAGGAACCAGGACAAAGCTGACGTTGGCCGCAAGGTTTTTGGCACTCTCTGGGTACATGAAGTGGTGCGTGGTGTGGCTGCCAGCGTCGTCCTCGTAGCCCACAGTGGGGGCCAAATTGATCCTGGAGGAGACAGAGGAAGGGGGCCACATCAGGAGAGATTTCAGGGCTGCTTTATGGCCCTGGCTACAGATCCATCTTTGATTTGTTCTGATTTACTGGACTCATCTGGTTTCCAATACAACCGTCAGCTGTTAATGTAACCATGTAAAACCCTCATAAGGTTAAATTCAGACATATCTGTAGTTCAGCAGCACAGATGAAGCAAATTATTCCTCTGTGATGATAGAAAGTACGTTTACTGCATTGAACAGCTAGGTACCTGCTGGCAGAAAGATTTCTACATTCCCTGAGACGTTCTCCCCAAAGTCACAGCTACCTCTGCTGGTAAGGCACAGCAATGGAGGCAGATACGTTTTGCCTCAAAGGAATAATGGAAACAAATAACCCTGTTCCCGGTGTTCTCCAAATTTATTTCTGTTCATTTTTCTCTTTACACTGATAATTTATCATTTTTCCAGCTCAGCGCATTCTGGAATATTAGTCATCCTCTATTAGCCCCTCTGTCTTCACTCCCTCTCAGCTGCACCTAATTTAATGTGAATAGCTCCTCTGGTTTGCATGTGATTTTCCTCATGCTTTATGTCCTGTTCTCCATGTTCTCTGCTGGATCCTTATGTTTACGATCTGATCCCTTTGAGCCTGACTGTAACATGTTCATTAAATAGTGTATCACTATGCATTGAAAACAGTGAGTTCTAAAGCATTCAGAGACAATGACTAAAAGAGAACCCGGAAAAGCCCCAAACTGGATGTATAATCTGTGGAGATGAAACTGTGGTCATTAAAGTTATAATAAAATAAAAATATCTGATTATTTTTAAGGCTCACATTCTAGACTGTGAGTAAATCATCTAAAGTAAACCTCCATTCTATGAAAACTGTAAAAAACAATAAAATGCCAGTTCACTCAGGTAAAGACCAACTTTCTCAGAGAAATATTTCACCAGAATAAATTTCTGGTGAAATGAACCCCTGAAGATGCAAGAGTTTTTAATTCTGTGTTTGCAAAATGTGCAAAAATCCTCAAACATGCAGAGAGAGTGGAAAACACTACCTCTGTCTGCAGATGAGACCCTGGACAGGAAAGGAAAGCTTTGTCCTGAACGGAACAACGAAAGAGCTGATTGTGCAGAGAAATCAGGTGCTGGTTTGGAAAAAAATGAACATCCAATCCTAAAAAGTAGATCTGGAATCTGCTCATTCAGCTCCAGAGAGAATCCAGCTGTGATAAAAACACTTCTCTCTGCTTTAACTGAACCGTGGAGCGGATTAAACGATGCTTTGAGGTTTTCCTTTGTCTCAGTGAGACATAAACATCCATCATGTTTGACCTCACTCTATACTGGACGACTTCCAGGAGCTCTTCTATGGCTTTAGGCCTCTTTAAACACACTCATCTGCATCCTTAGACTTTCATCCCTTCTTTTTAATAACAGGCTGTGAAATGCTTGGGTCGGCACCAGAACCAATAGAACCACATCGTCTGTAGAGTCAAAAATTGGGAGGACTGCTGTGGAAGAAGAAGCTGACTGTGTTCCATCTTCGCCTCCTGTCATCTGGATCGGACTCAAGGCAAAGCAGCAGGAATCAGCCTGGAACCGCATCTTCTGATACGCTGTGACCTTCTGGGTCGGATCAGGAGCATCATCAGGATCAGGAGGCTCGGCTTAAGGAGAAGGAGCTCAGAATGGAGCTGCTGCTCCTTCTCATGGCCTCTACTGATCTGAATTCTTCTTCTGGGGGTTTAAAAGACCACTTTATTAACTACAGCTAGTCAGGATGTTTCA